CCAGGCTGCTGAAGGGAGCCTCGCTCTGAGCGGGCGGTGGTTGGCGAGGCGCTGCCGGTTGCTGTGCCCACTGCTGCTCCGCTCTGTTGTGTGCGCATAAAAACGCTGGCGTGACCGAGTGCAGCGGCAGAGTTTGGCTTTGATGATGCCCGCTTGTGCTTTGCCATTAGCCCCATCTCGCCAAGGAACAGTGCTCTGCGTTCTCATGTAGAATCGTAGAATGCTCTGAGCGGGCGGTGGTTGGCGAGGCGCTGCCGGTTGCTGTGCCCACTGCTGCTCCGCTCTGTTGTGTGCGCATAAAAACGCTGGCGTGACCGAGTGCAGCGGCAGAGTTTGGCTTTGATGATGCCCGCTTGTGCTTTGCCATTAGCCCCATCTCGCCAAGGAACAGTGCTCTGCGTTCTCATGTAGAATCGTAGAATCATTATGATTGGAAAAGACTTTCAAGATCACCAAGTGCAAACGCAAACCCATCACCATTGTGCCTGCTAAGTTCCTAAGTGCCTTATCTACACATTTCTTTAACACTGCCAGGGAAGGGGACTCCACCACCTCCCTGGGCACGCAAGAGCAAAAAGTTTACTAAGTTAAATTGCTATGTTAGGCCTCAGATCCCTTAAAATGTTTACTGGCAACCTCGTAGGAATCTTATTACAGACTACCTTCTTGCCTTCTCTTCATTTGAGGTTTTATATCTCATCTGTTTTAATCGTAGCCCTGCAACTTAGTCCCTACCTCCTCACTGCCACTAGAAGCTATTGGTGACACTTTTGACTGCAGTATGGAAAACTTCAGCTGTATGGATGACAACACACTTTCAAAAACAATATTTTTGTTTTGTTTCTGTCTGCAAGCCAAATTCGGGTTGGACTGCAGTCTGCAGAAAACTGCCACCCAAAGAAGATGTAGATGTCACATTTTTCAAAAGAGGGCCTTAAAAGCCTGGAAAGCTGCTGATGCTGAATACAGAGAAATATTTTACCCAACACTTTCTTCCTGCATAATGGCAAATACAAGCAAATCATGTGTTATTTTTTTAAGCTTACCTATAGCCTACCAATGGTTACACATTCCTGCCAAATTTCAAAAACTCTTTACAGAGGACTGGGAATATAGAAGATAAATAAATTCATGCAAGTTCTCTCAAAGGCAACTGTCCCAGTAGCAGAAAGTCAGCCAGATTAGTGCCATAGCTGAAGAAAAAGCTACTTTCTGAATGGAGCTGCAGGCACCAGAGTTCATCCAAGGAGGCATATTTAAAATACTAATTACATAAAAAGTCTTAAAGCATATTTCTCAGTGTAGTGTACAAAAAGAAGAAAAAAAAAGTAAAGGATAATCCAGCAGTGAGAGCAAGGGCCATGAGAAACTAAGCTACATGTCATGTGGTGCTAACCACCACCAAATTGCTTTTGTTCTGGGAAGGAGAGAAATAAATCTTCCTAGCACCTCTTAGCAAACACCTAAAATCATTCCTATGGGCAAGAATCAGGAAAAAAACTTTCAGGTCATTTTTGGGTCTTATTTTTGTAGCTGCTGCCTCTCTTACCTGCAAAGAGTTCCTCATTCCTCACCAAATGCAAACTGGCTGACATATGGACTATATTCTGTCCTCTCAGAAGGCTGCTCCTGCACTAATGCTGTTGCTGTCTTAATGTGCGCGCCATTAAAGCAAAGCGCAGGCCAACTTTTATGAAGTGATGCAATTTCTTGCAATTCTTGCCTATTGCTCCAAACTCCCAAAGTTGTCTGGGCTTGTGTTGCACAGAGCTGCACACAATGTGGCAAACTTTGCAAGCTGCAGCAACTATTACACACGTGTTTTTAATCTTAAGTTCTTTTGCTTGGTTGGGGGGAATTTTGTTAAGTAACCACAGGATCAGAGATCAGAACTCCTCCTCCTCCTATAAGTTTCAGCCTATGTTGCACAATAAGGTTTGACAGCACAGCTGGGATTTGCCAAGCAAGAATAAATCTGGATCATCCATCATCCACCTCCATATCACCACACATCCATTTCCAAGCTCTTTTCCTTCACCTGAAATACAAAATGGTTGGCAATGAGTTAGGGTGTTGTGGAACACAGCAATATTTTCACTTTTCTTCCAGTGAGGGGAGGAACACACTTTTCCTTTCCTACTCATTCCCCCGATTTTTGTAAGCATAAGGTGTGGTACTCTCATTTTGTGTTCTTTCTCCAAGACAGATTTAGCTAATACTAGATTCATGCAACATGAAAACACTCCACAGTGCACATCTGGATCAGCCTTATCCTACATCTAGTACTGTCAATACTTCTGCAGTTGGAATAATATGATTATGGGTTCATATTTGTTTAAAACAAGTCGTAGAGAGTTCCACAGAACTGGTTTGCATCAGATTAGCCCTTTGCTTTATGTAGCTGCAGGGTTTTTCATCTAGCAGTAGATGCCTGAAAGACAAATTTATTGGACCAGCTAAATATGACCTTACTCAAATAAAATCAGTCGCTAAGTGCTTTGTGACCAGAGTGTATCTTCCCTCTGACAATAATCAACTCTTCCTTTTTCTGCTATTATCCCTACGAAATGTTTTTTTTCAATCAGCTTCCCCCTTTTGCTTGGAGGTGCAGTTTCCAGCTGTTTAATTCTCACCGTTGGTGCCTTCATAAGCCAATTTTAAAAGAACAGTTTGCTCAGAAGTCCTTCAGAATCAATCTGATGGCCCGTCCTGTTCACCATCACTGCTCATGAACATGTCCCATCAACTTATAACTACTGAAGACTACTACGTCAGTCACTTGATAGATGATTTTCTTACTAGTGTACATCGGCATATCAGCCCATGAGAAGCTCTCACATCCACGGGTGCGTTTGTAACTTTTATCCCACTTGGTAGAGCACCCTGGCAAAACACATTTCAAATGGTCCCTAGAACAAGGACAGCTCATGATACTTCTGGGAGCAGATTATAAAGAATTAAACCAGGAGGCATCCCACAACTTCTTATTCAACTCGCTTTTTAACACATTTCAAAGCATTTGGCTGACACATACTCAGACATTATTCATGGGCTGTTCCTTATTTCTACATCTTACCATGCTAAATGGTCTGTATCCAAATATATGGATTTTGCTAATTCTACTGTGAGCTACTGCAGTTTATCATATGCTTTAGTAACATGTTTATGGCATATTGGGAACTAGGCCTTTTTTCCAGAGGCTTGTTATTGACTTAATAAGACATGGAATGAATCTGGGATCTAACTGTCTCCCTCACTGTTTGTCTCAGCTCAGTCTCATCCCTCCAACACAAAAATGAGGATTGCATTTGCTTCACACATTGTTTCTCCTCAAACAATTTTTCTATGATTTTGCTATTTTTTTTTGTCTACCTAGGTGTTTAGAAGCATCAGGGACTATATGCCTGTGATGATTTTGAAGGGTTTGCTTTAAAGCAGTTCCCTGAGATCATTGTTCAATGTAGATTAATCAAAAATCTATTATTTTTGTACCTTATACTTCAGCCTGTTTTTTTTCTTAGAGCTGTAGCATGATTTACATGGAGACACCATTTTCTGAAGACTCTGAAGTCTCAGATCTTATGACCTAACATGTCATGACATCCATAGATGCAGAATCCTTGAACAGTTAGTAATGTCTAGCATCTGCTGTAGAGAGATTATCAAAATCTTCTGCTTTAGCTGGAAAATGAGTAAAGGCCTGTGGATGTTCTCACAAGCAGTGTGGTACATGATCTCTCTAAGCAAAGGCCAGCGAAGCAAAGCCCCAGCAAAACTGCATTCCCTGTACAAGAGGTCCACTTCAGAGCTAGCAGAGGTCTGTAAAAATGTATTGCAGCAAAGCATCTCCTTTTTGGCATCTCTATTTTTTTTTTTGATAGTCTGTCTGTAAAGCAAACAGGGCACAGACCTCACCTATAGGACTGCTGTCACAACTGGTAATACATCAACTTCACAGCCCAGACTTGTGATCTGACTTCTCTGCTTACCTCCTTTTGATTGCAATGGGTCTAGGTCCACTGAAAGAGCCTTTTTTTTCCTTTGGGAAATAACGCCTAGGTGATATAACCAAGTTAACTGGTGTGGCTTAGTGGGTCTAGGTATACTGAATGCAACTTTTTTCCATTGGGAAATAACGCCTAGGTAATATAACCAAGTTAACTGGTGTGGCTTATTAGGCAACAAATGAAAGATCTAAAATATAAAAATACTCCCCCAAGTCTACAGAGGGACTTGTCCCCAGATTAACTTGGACACACTAGATGCTGTGTCATGCCTGTGAAGTGTTACACAGAATCACAGGATGCTTAAGGCTGGAAGGGACCTCTAGAGATCATCTAGTCCAACCTCCTGCTCCAGCAGGGACACCCAGAGCACGTGGCACAGGGTGACATCCAGGCGGGTTTGGAAGATCTCCAGAGAAGGAGACTCCACAGCCTCTCTGGGCAGCCTGTTCCAGGGCTCTGGCACCCTCACAGTAGAGAAGTTCTTCCTCACATGGAGGTGGAACTTCCTGTGTTTCAACTTATACCCGTCACCCCTTGTCCTGTCACCAGCCACCACCGAGAAAAGTTTGGCCCCATCCTCCCTACATTCTCCCCTCAGGTACTTGAACATGTTGATCAAATCTCGTCTCAATCCTCTCTAGGCTAAACAGGCCTAACAGTGTTATACCTGTCCTCACTGCTCCTTCAATGCCGCTGCCTTTGGCGTCCAAACAGGCCTTTCTCCTCAGAGAGCGTATGAAGCCAAGCAGGACAGAGCACTTCCCTGCGCAAGGGGATTGGACGTGCATATGCCAACACACACACTGGAGTTACTAACAGCACTGCCTGGTGATGTTATCTTAATATCAAACAAACAAAAGTGGGATGCACTTAAAGCTGCTACTTGGAAATAACATTGACTGTTGCCTTAGGGGAAAGACTATAAAGTGTCAGTTTGTAAAAGGTCCTTTTAGGCACAATCACTCGGAGTCAAAGGACGGGGAGAGGAACAACACCTTTTTCATCACTTCTTTTTTTTACAGAAGGTTTATCAGGTTACATATGGTACTTCACCAGCACAGGGTTTTTCCATATAGTTTAGGCACTGTGATCTGCATTTAGATGAATAACTTCACAGAAGTGATAGTTTTTTGTTGGTGGTGGTTTTTGTTTTTGTTTTAAAGAAAACT